AATTAAATATTTATTCTCAAATATTTGAATGTAAAAGAGAAAACAGTGGTATAAGTAGGCTTCTCTCTGTCTTTGGGGCTCACAAGCAGCAGGGAGTGTGGAAAGATACATGGCCTCCAGTAAGAGCTCTGTTTTGTACCCAATTAAGTGGTGTTGAATAAACATTGCCCATGCGGTATTTTTAGAAAATTTCTTTCAGGAAAAAAGTGAACCAGTTAAATGCCAGTGAACAGCATCTGCTCCTTTTGTGGTTCATGGCAGTGAATGTGCATTGTCCCCAAATCAGGGCAGCAGTAATTTGGAGGCACTGCCTTGTATGATGTATAACAAAACATACCTATTTTTCTCCACCTCCACAGCACAGTTCTCTTTGGCTGCCACAGTCCTACTTATCTTATGCAGCCCAGCATTTTGAGGACAGAATGTTGCAATGGATTTTTTTGTGAGTAAACATCAAGACTCCCATGCCCTGGCTGATGAAATGTTGCTGCTTCCACATAGCTTTTTCAGAGGTGGGAGGATCTGAAAAACTGGTATGGAAAGTTTCAGAAAAGAAATTCATAGCTAACAGTTAATTTCTGACACCTGGTGAGGTCAAGTCAGGAGGCTGGGGAAGCTGACAGGACGCACAGCAGTGAAATAATTTCTCTTGGAGCAAATTATTGTTATTACGGTACTCCCACCACAATTGGACAAAGGTCTTTTCATCCCACCGTCGTCCTGGGCAGACACCATGGCTGGGATGTGGTGATGGAGAGCGGTACAGTCGGGGCTGAGCGCAGCCCTTGTCTCCTCGGGAAGGGCACGGCGGTCCCGAGGTGTTTGGTGACGGGGGCAGCAGGTGGGGAAAGCCGGCCCAGAGGCACCTGCCCGCCCGCCCGGGGCACAGCTGGAGCCCAGGTCTCGAGGGGACAAGTAGCAAGGGAACAATGGTCCTGTCCCATGTCAAAGACCACACGGATCCACAGCACAGCTCCTGGCAGTGCCACCACCGCTGTCCTCGCTCAGTGCAGCTGGCGAGGGCACCGCCAGCCCCTCCGCAGCCCCGGCCACCCTGGCGGCCCCGGGGGCACCGCCGACGCTTATCGAGGTCTTCCGGCTCGGCAGCTCCCAACTCGACGTTGTGACAAGCTCGCCGGGGCCGTAGCCCCGCTGGGCAGGTGCCCCAGGGCCAGCCCGGGGCATCCCAAGTCCCACGTCCCCCGTCCCCCGTCCCGTCTCCCGCACCGTCCCTCCTGAGGATGCTGTTTGCCGCGGCCGCCAGGCGCGCTGCCCCTTTAAGCGCGCTCCCGCCCGGTCCCGCCCGCCCGCCGCTCCCCGGCCCGCAGCCCTGCGGCACCGGCAGCGGCACCGGCACCGGCCCGGGCTCCTGCCGCGGTCTGCGGCGGCCGCCAGCAGGCGGTGCAGGGGGAGGGGGCTGCCGGCGTTCTGGCTCTTTCTGTCGGAGCCGCCGCCGGTGCTGGTGGCCGCAGACCCCGGAGCTCCTCGCTGTTCGGGTGGCGGCAAAGGCAGCGCCGGGGAGCGGACGGGGGAAATGAGGGATCGGGGTGAGAGCTGGTATTGAGGCCGCCGGCTTCGCCCCCCGCCCCGCGGCGGGAGCGGTCCAGCCTGCCCCGTGTGCCGGCGCTGCGCCGTGTCCCAAAGGATGCAGCCACCTGCGGGAGCGGAGGTGACGCACGCCTTGCCACCTTGCAGGTGGTCTCGCAGTGAGATGCGGCGAGAAGAGTCGTGCTGTCGATCTTGCCCGGGCCGCTCACCTTTCGGGTGAACGCAGGCTGGGTGTTTGTGCCTTGCCTACAGGCCGCCTGCCACAGCGCCCGGTCCCAGCAGCATTCCCCCAGGTGCTGGCATCCCCCTGCCCGCGGCCAGCGTGCCTCTGTTGGTCACGGGTGTTGTAACCACCATGTTGGCTAGAGCTGATCAGAGCATGAGGAGATGACATGGTGGTTGGGTACCTGCATCCAGGCTGTGGAAGTGCTCCCCACTGTTGTTGCTCGTGGCGCCTGGTGTATCTGAAAGAGCCCTGATAGGATGCTGAAAGGAAAATTACTGGGGTAGTTGAGCTTGTCACCCATGTCAAAGCTACTTTCTTGCTTGATACAGTGTCATGGTTATGAACAGGCAGTCTGTGACCAGGAGGTTGGATTGATGTTTGCCATGGTGACGTGATGTGATTTGACACTTTGCATGCTGAGACTTGCTCTCTTCTTCCTCCAGGTCACTGAGAAGGATCCTTGTGTGTATATATACCTCTGCTGAACTAATCTAACAAAAAGAATACCTGTATTTTTTTCTGTTAGGGTTTACTTCTTATTTACAATGATGGATGATCTTGCTTTAAAAATATTATGCAGATGTTAATTTATTGCTGTAAAGGTGCAGTTCTAGCCTTATAACTAGAGACACAATATTCTGATTGTGCAGAAGCCCTAAAGTGTGCAATGTTTGGATCTCTGCCATTCTGTTGTTGCTGCCTTCCCCACCTTGCACCTGAGTTCTGTAATTGTTTGTTCTTTCGTGTGATACTTACGCATTAATTACACCTCCTTCACACTGCCATGTGGAAGAATTTGTGCTATGCTACTGTTTGTCCTAGCACCAGCTATGGCGTTTTCTTCCTGTTCTGTCTTCTCTCTTCCTCTATTCCTAATGCTTTTGGTCTGCTCTGTTTGAGCTTCTCTTACATATTTTATCCTTGGCTGTTTTTTCTTTTCATCCCTTTGTACTTTTCAAGACACTGCATCTAGGCCTGCCACGTCCTTATTGCTCTCTATTTTAAGATTTACTTAGGGTCCAGATTTCAGATCTTTCTGCCTTCTAATGCTCCTTTTCATGATACTCCAGGAAGAGTATTTGGTTAATGGACATAACTTGTGCATTCTAACCTGCTGAATGTATTTTTTTTACCAAGGCTGCTTCCCTGACTAGTTCTTATGGCATTACTAAATGTCTTTTGTCTCTACATAACTTCAAGATTCCCTCACCAGCAATTTTTGAGTAATGGACTCTGACAAGGATGTGTTGGTGTGCATACATCACTACCAGTCAAACTTTCAAACCCCAGCTGTCGCTGTTGTTGCTTCTGCCCTCGCTGAGTGACAGGCAAGAACCAGAATGTCTTGGGAAGGACTCAAGTTACAAGTCATAATGAATCTCAGTTTACCAGGAGCATCAGTGAAACACTGCAACTGAGGAGTCACTGATTGGAACAGAAGATGTGCTGGTCTAAACATGAATCCCACAGCTCTTGAGCAGGTTCTGTGAACAACAGGTAAAATGGTGCCAGTCTGGAGGTTGACTGGAGAAGCTGCTCTTTTTTGTGACCACACACTTCTTGTATTGCATACCAGATATATCGACAGTGAGTTTGTTCATTTGACTATGCAGCATGCCTAAGGTGTTCTTTTGTATTCAAGGAAAATGAATTTTCACCTTAAAAAGCAGTAATTAGTTGTGGTAAGTAACGTCCTGGGAATGTCTGATGCCTGCTCTGTTCCCCTCCAGGACAGTGGAGCAACCAAGGCCATCTTTGAGGACTCTTAATGGTTTCACTCTTGGTTGTCATTGCTTATACAGGGGCTCAGGAGTTTAGTGAAGTCTGTGTAGATGCTAGAGAGAAACCTATTTGATTTTTGTGATGACCCTATGAGAGTGGCCAAGTGCTTCCACAGGGTGGCATCACTTTTTGAAGTGTGCCTCTGGGTACTCAGACACTCAGAATGTTGGGTCATTCACACACTTGCTGTAACTTGAAAACTGGCAGCGGTTTTGCTCTGGGGCTTTCCTTCAGAAGTTTCTTTGTGTTCTGGGAGGCTGTGCTGAAATGGAGAGTTTTGTGAAACAGAATTGGCAAGTGAGACTGAAACCTTTAGCCTAAAGCTAATGTTTATATTTAGGCTCTATAAATAAGTTTTCTCTTTTGATATTTGGCCTGATACAATTGCACAACAATGCCAATTAATAATAAAGAATGGATTTCCATCTTAAAAAAAAGCTGTTCTAAATGATTCTAGATACCCTATGCTCTTTATGGAAAGTTAGTAACTGTAGGGAGGCACAGAGCTCTCTGAAATACATCTACATCTGAATTGTATAATAATCTTTGGCATTTTGTTGGTCCATTTAATTTACAGTTATCTGACAGCAAACCATGGAAGCCACAGTAATCTGTGCACCTTTTTGTGAATTGTTCTTAGCCTTGCATAGTCTGTGTCCTTTACAAATGTACTTGGTTTCATACTTTTTTTTCCCCTGACCAGAAAAAGTAACTTTGCAAAATACATTTATGAAGTGATTGCTTTCTTAATCTAGAAACAAAACTAGATTAATTTTATGACAGTTAAAATAAATTATTACCTTTTAAATAATCTGATGAGACGGCCTGCAAATCTGGGACTAAAACTGAGATTAGTGGACAGAAAGAATGAGGTGTGAGATGACAAAGGGAAAACTGTCTTGGACTGCTCAAGTCAACATCTGTAATGTGGAGTGAAACACATCCTGTCCAGATGTTCTCAGCCCAGTGGTTTGGGGGCTGTACAGGAAGCCAGGTATGGCTGCTCTCACACAGGATAAGCTCCTGCAGAGCACAGGTCAGGTGTCATAGGCCTGTGTGGTGGCAATCTGATGACAAAATTCTGTTTTCAATTGTTTGAGGAAGAGGGGAAAAAGTAATGATCTTTTTTAGTTATTCATTAATTGTGAAGTAAAAGACCTAAAGATGAGGAAATATAATTAAAGATGCTTATGCAGTTTTAGTGTGTTGCTTTTGCGTATGCATTATGGCAGTGTCCGTGGCTGCATTTTTGCTTGGTGGTTTCACACAGACCCCAGCCCTACAGTCACATGATGGGCTTTCTCCTTGTGATGAAGCCAGGTAGCATCATGAGGGAGACTTTTGTCTGTAGAAACTTCACATGCTGCAGGAACTGCCCTCCATACAGCAGGAAATGAGTTAAAGAATGACCTTGGTTGGGTGCTGTAAGATTGGATTTCTTATCATGCGTTCAAGAAAACAGTTTTCTTCGTTTGATGATTATTTGAGTGTTCCTCATTTTATGGGTAATTGACTTGAAATTGTCAAACCTCATTTGTGTGGCTGACCATTCAGGGAATCTTTTCTTTTCTGGATGTGAAACTCCAGTGTGTAATGTTACCTGTACTGGCAAAACGGCTCTCAGTATCTCAAGCTGAGCGTCCAACAGTATTTGCAGACACTTTGCTTTTGGTGTCTGTCTATCAGTCTTTTTCTGCAAAATGGATACAATGTCACCCCTTCTCATTCAACTTGCCAGTGGCACAGAAAAAAATGAGAAAATTCATGAACTGTTCAGCTATCTCAGCAGTGAGAGGCATAGCAATGTCTCCCAGGTAGTTAGTACCTTTCTGTTCAGTGGAGGATTTAATGGTATTCATTCCTTAATAAATGCCATTTGACCATGAGAATAAAACCAACAATTGACTAATTGCTTGTTTAGGAAGCATGATTTATCTTCCACACTGAAGGGGGAGAAAGTAGGGGAAAAAGATATATTTTGGTCTAGTGAAAGACTGTTATAATCCATATGCTTAAGGGCTGAAAGAATTCAGAAGCATCTCCCCTTTTAACTGCCTGTTGCAATCTTGGTGCACTTTTAACACGATGTAGGGCTCCCGGGCAGCTGTGCTTTCATGAGGCTGTGTCTGCAGTGCAGCACAGCTGAGCAGCCCTCTGCCCCAGCCAGTGCACTCTCTCTCAGCAGAGTTGGTTAATCTGGGTGGAGCAAGAAGTGTTGTGTGTGTGTAGGTGTCTCTACATGAGACTGCCTAGACAGCACAAGACAATGTAAGGCAGTGCAACTAGAGGGAGTTATCACTTCTTTTCCCAATACTGAACAAGGATTCCCATTAAAAATAAACCCGGTGTCACTTGTAGTACAACAAAAATTGGTTTCAGTGGAGGTGTACGCCTCCTACTGCTCTTTGAGATCCCCTTATCTGCTTGATCATACTTCCTAAGACAAATAAAGACAGCAGACACTTTGCTCTTTCCATATCTTTAGTTCATTGCATAAAGTAAATGTATGGCCCACAGTAAATCACATAAGGTCTCTCTGTCTTAGCTTATATCTCTGCTTTGGCTGTAGAAATACTTATCTGTCTCACATGAACCTCCTGTGATCCAATGACTCATTAATTATAAATGATTCTTGAGAGGCTTGGAGACATGGAAGAAATGCAGAGTGGCAATATATATTTTTTAATTTGCTAGCACTGTTTGCCTAATACAGATGCAAAAATTCACTTCCATGTGCTGTCCCTGGCAGTCTTTTACAATTTATTCAGTCAGAACAGAAGGAGCAGAGAGATTTTTTCTGGTTTTTGAGTTTAATACTTAAATTAAAAAAAAAAAAAAGAAAATGGAACAAACAGAGATGACTCTGTCAAAGTCTGCAAAAAACCTAAATGAAAGTTTTTGTGTTTGTTTTTTGTCTTTTATGTAGTTGCTTCCAAAATCCGCTACCTTCAAGAATACCATAACCGGGTTCTGCACAACATATATCCTGTGCCCTCTGGAACTGACATTGCAAATACTCTGAAATACTTTTCTCAGACATTATTGAGGTAAGTTTTGACTAATGCTCTGAAGAAAAAAGAGCTAAAGAATTGTAGGGAATATCGATTGGCTTTGAATTGGTTACCAGATTTAATGGATCAATGGTCAGCCAAAAAGAGTCAGAGCATAATTTAAGAAAAACATGGTATGATTGAATCTCTCAGTGGCTGTTGCCCAATTTGCCCAGTTAAGCCCCCTTACTGAGTGGCTGATTCTAGAGTAAACTTGGTTGATTATGCATTTGCTTGGTCCTAAGATTTTAGCTGAACGCACAAACATGCTGAACTTGTTAAGAAAGGAGCTGGTGACCTGTAGAGTTTTAGATGTGTATAATCATGGCCTCCTTGGCAGTCCTGGTGCCTCAGAATCACAGACCAATGAGCCAGATGAGCAAGCAAGACTGGCTTCTCACTGTGCTTGGTTCAGCTCTTCTGGGTTCTGGTTCAGTCCCTTAGAACAGCAGGAGCAGACACAAAATTTGTACTCAGATCTGAATTTGAATGTAACAACACATCAGGATTGTTCTGATCCAACATTTTTGACTTAGTGTCTAGTGTTTTGTAATAATATATCGTGCTAAATACCACATGAATAGAGAATACATTGTTAATAGGGAATACTACCTCTTGTCTTCCAAAAAAATAGGAAAAATGTGAGACTTTATTATTTATAATGTACATTCCACAGTGCTGCCTAGTGGATTCATATTTCCAAATTGTTTTTAAAATGGCTTTTGACCATGAATAGGGGATTTTTTTCTGCTGGTTTTGGCTGGCACTAGTTTTCACATCCAGAAAAATGCAGTTCATATTGCATTTCTGTGCATAGCTTCCTGATTTATACCTGGAAACATTGTCCCTGCTGTCAAAGGGTAGTTTGGAAATAAAACTATTTGCCTTATTTGAGGAGGAAACATTAACAAAATACAATTTACCCATACATTTGTACATATACTCCTCTGATGTATACAAGTTGGGAAGCCAGAATTTAAACTTGAGAGAATGAGAACAGTTCATTCTAACTAATCAAAGAGCCTGGGATACATCAAAATTTTCTTGACCCCGTTTAAAAGGAGAGACACATAGAGAGAAACAATTTTTAGTGGAACGTCTGTTCACAGCAACCTTGAAACCTCCTGTTTACTTTTGAAAATTTCAAGAGCAGAAATATTTGTTTCCATTTTCATTTAGACTGTTGAAGAAACTTACAGCAGCCAGTAGGACTTTTTGTTTGAAGATTAATAAATTAAATTTTGTCTCATTGTATTGAGCAGTGGGAAAAAATGTTTAGAGTCACAAAAGATACTTTTGAAATGTGTCTCTGTTCCCCCATCAGGCTATTATGATGGACTGTTTGTACCACACACTTAAATTGCATTTAAGTAAGATTATTTATGACAGACAGCTTTTGCTTAAATACTTTGAGCCTTTAAGCTCTTAAAGCAAGAAAGTTGGGCTTGATTCTGAACGTATTCTCTTTTAGCTGTAACTACCAAGTGCTATAATCAGATATGTTTCTTTTTGGTCAGAAGTTCACTGGGTCAAGATAGATTTAGAATGTTCTGCTTAAAGAAAGCATTTTCTGCCACTCTGTGGTCTTCTTGTATAATGTACAGCTGACCTGTGCTGTTGATAAATTCTTCACACTCCAGGAGCAGTGATGTTCCAGGGCTTACTGAAAAAGCTTTGTACTTAGCAATTGTGAGAGCAGATCAGAAATCAGGGCAGCAATTGCACAATTGAGCAACTCTGTTTGTTTTATTTCATGTTCAGAATGGGACTGAACCAAAATCCTTTTGTTGATAATGCTGAACCCCATGGGGCAGAAATGATACTCATATCTGATAGACAAATGGCTTTGTCCTTCGTGATCTGGGATCTGATTAGCCTCAGAACTAAAAGGGTATGAGAAATTAATGCCAGGGCTTGGATCTAAATTTAAGTGGACTGAGTTCTGATACTCAGGCAAGGTCAAATTCACATTCTAAACCCCTGTAACTGGGGAGTTTGAACTGTGGGTCAAAGGCTCAGTGCTATGGTTGAACCAGTGTAAATTTATACACTTGCTGATACTAAGAAAGAAGATGGATAAAAAAGCAAAACAACAAACCCTGTATTTAGTGTGGCAGATGGAAAGAAGGAAACTCCCACCCACTGTGTGCAGATCTCTGGAAGATTTACCCTAAAACTAAACAGACTGGTTAAGAACCTTTCTGAAGAGCATGTTCAAAAATTTATTTGAATATTTTGCATGCTGAGTCTCTTTTTTGCCTCCTACACTGAGACTCCATTGTACAAGGTTTAAGATCAGTAATAGAAGTACATGGTGGAGAATAATCTTTCTAGCTTAACACAGAGCATATGCAATGAATTTGGACTCTTAGGGACAAACAATTCTTGGTGAACATGTGTAGTCATAGAAATAATGAAGGAATAGTCAGAGAAATTCCACATAACGATTGGGTTTTACAGAAGTAGATTTTACTGTTTATGGCTCTTTTACCTTTCCATGTTATGAGCACACTGACTGTGTTCTTTTCAGTGGGACGTGCCCACTGTTTTGAATGACATTCATATGTGGTGTCATTTTGCTGGCTAAAGATGGATTGCACAAGAGATTAATTTGCTCCTTTGCTCTGTATGCAGCCTCCATAAATTACAAGCTCAGGGGTGGGGGGAACAGATGTGGAATGACTGAAAAAAAAATCCTTATTTCTATAACAAACATCACATAAAATCACCATACACAATGCATAGCACATTGATTCATTTAATTCTTCTTTAGTTTTCTCTTTGGGAAAAGCATTTCTTTACATTACAGCATGAATTTGTTTCATGCCCTACTCATTTTCAGTGATTTCTCCCTCATTTGAGGAATGATCTAAGGCTTAAGAAACATCCTGCAGAAAAGCTTATTCTTTCACATTTTCCTGAAGAAAATTCTCCATATGTATTTCTAAGTAAAATACTTTATGTGAGGCATAGTTATAAATGCTGTGGTGGCTAATTAATGGTCAAGCTTGTTTTGCTGCCTTGGTGAGATGTAGTTTCACTTGAAGGCATTTTAGGAAACCTTTCCAAGAAGGCAATAATTTTGGGATAGCTTTGCAGCAAAGATATACACATCTTGAAACAACCTTGGTAGCTTTGTCCCTTATTGCAGAGCAAGTTCAGTATGGAGTAAGTTCAGTATGGAGTTATGATTTGCAGATACTCCAGATTCTCAGTACTTGGTTTGAATTGAACCAGAAGCAAATTGCAGTTGTGTTTTGGTCCTAAGAGACCTCCTAGATTTTCAATTTTGACTCCTCTATTTATTGCTTTTTAAAAATACGGGTCAGGCAAAAGTCTGGACATGAAATTCTGTTTTTTTTTAAATTTGTTTTTTAATAAATTTGGTGTGGTTCCAGCTGGAATTTAGATCTAATCTTATTACTGTTAAACTGAAGGATGCCCTGATCAAGATACAATAAGTGTGCTTTGGCATCTAACCCAGCGATGGGCCTGTAGCTCAGCGTAAAAAGAAAGGATTAATATCCTTTCTATAAATAAGTGCACATGGAGTGATGTTTTGGCAAGTAAAGAGATGGGTAATTGGTATTATCTGTTGGTAGACAACAAAGGAGTATAGTGTAGTACCTTCATATCTCTAAACATAAGCTGTAAAATATGGCAAATGAATCTCAAGCAAATTAGAAGGAATCAGCACTCTGATAATTCATTGTTAAAGTCATACTAGATCTTAGGTGATGTTCTGATAAAACCATGACAGTGATCATGTTTCTTTTACTGGACATTGGGTAACAGAAACCAAAATAATCTGCCAAATATGTGAGGCGCAATTAAAAAAAAAAAAAAAGAAAGAAAAAAAAAAAGTAATTTCGTAAGACAGACAGTGTCTGTCATCTCTGACTGCAAGGGTGATGTAATAGTAGCCAAGTAGGCACTTGGCAGATAATTGCTTTTGTAAAAGTGGTTTTTATATATGGAAAATGAATGACACCTTCTCTTATAAGCACCTTAGCAAGAGTTTGGCTTACTTGTGTAAATTGCTGAGTTAACTGGGGGGGGGGTAAGATTTGCTGAGGTGATTATATGTAGGGATTTCTGTACTGTTAAAGAGAAGAGAGGTTTCTAGAAGTGCTCCCTCTTGATATAATTCTGCTCTACATGAGTCAGTGGAAATCTCAGTGCTATTGGCTTGTCTTGTATAAGTTTAACACTGACTGTGGGAACAGAGTTAAACCAACAGCAACTGCTTTTGGAAATCCCAATGACTGAGAGGTGCAAAAAGGTGCTTTAAAAAGGAAAAAAAACCATTGTGTGTGGGTTAATATATTTAAAAGGTGTATTATATTTTATAGGCACATATGGAGATTATGAACTAACCCTATAACTGCTTGATAACTAAAATATAACACTGCTTAAGTGAGAATTTATTTCTATTTAAAATAGTGGGGTTTATTTTTAAAATAAATTAGATTACCATGTTTACAACCATGTTTGCAACATTTTTAAAACTACATAACAAGCTGGTTGACGTATAGCCTCTATTTTGATTCCCACTAAATTATTTTTATTTTTTGAAATTATCTCTCCTTTAGTTTATAGTGAGTTATGTTGAATAATAACGTAAGTAACAGCAGGAGTGTATGGTAACATACTGTCTGATCTGCAGTTACATAATTGGTCTTGCTTGCTTAGCCCTTAGATTTTTGAAGGTAACTATTTACCCAAGGAGTGTTTGTATTCATAAAGCAAAATGTTTCCTCCCTAAACATGGGCAAAATTAAAAACACACATAAACAACCATTATCATTAGCTCACAAACATATGCTAAAGACCATCTACTATATATTATTTTATGACTTTTCCAAATGTAGTTTAGTTAACATTTTAGAAATATTATATTATTTCTAAATCCATGTGCCTGTTTAAACTTCATTATCTCAAATGATACTGAGTGAGTGGTCATGAAACAGTATCATAAAATACATACGGACATTATTTTAATGCAATAAACATGTGATTTTTAAGACTATCTTAACAAACACACATGTTTATTCTTTGCTAAAACATGTTTCTGCAAGTGCCACACCTATATTTTGCATGTTTTCAGTCAGTTGGCTCAAGATTATAGGGGGGAAAAAATAAATCTCTCAAAATCCTCAGAATCTCAGAGCAAAATACCAGCCTATTTTGACACAGCTAAACACTTTTAATTCTTAGAATTTTTCTTAACTGTGAAACATGGGTAGGGCACTGAAACATGCATTTTTATATTTTTGCTCCTTATGAACCAGATAACACATGAGATGCAATGAAATTTTCCTAGATGTCAATTTTTAATTCTCTTCTCTTGAAGCATGAAAGTAAATGGTTGCTAGATTTGTAGACACACTGGTTTCGGTAGTGATTGCATCTTATGTGGGATGTATCTGGTCTTTTATTATTTGTTTTATAGTGTCATTTCAATGTAATGTGCTGTTCTTTGTGTCTTTGTTGTCTCTTTTTTTTCTTTGTCCCCCCAACAGCATTTTGTCCCGCACAGGGAAGAAGGAGAATCAAGATGCCTCCAATTTGACAGTGCCCATGACCATGTGTCTTTTTCCTGTGCCATTCCCACTCACCCCATCTCTAAGACCACAGGTCAGTTCCATCAACCCTACTGTTACTCGCTCCCTCCTTTACAGCGTCCTGCGAGATGCTCCATCTGAACGTGGCCAGCAAAGTCGTGATGCTCAGTTATCAGACTACCCATCTTTGGACTATCAAGGACTTTACGTGACACTGGTGACACTACTGGATCTAGTTCCCTTGCTCCAACATGGGCAACATGGTAAGCAGGCCCTTGAATGATTCCAGTGCTGTGAATCCATGAGTGGTGCATATATCCAGTAGAAGAGATGGGCCTAAACTGACCTGGATCTGGATTTCAAATCTCCTGAGATGCATTTATATCCAAGTGTTCTGTTTGACTTTCTCAAATAAAGGATATTTTTTTACTAAATGTGGATTTGGGTTTGAATTCTGAGGTTGTCTGATTTTTAATGATGTGCTGGTGGTATGCAACTAAAATACAATTGTATGTAACAAAAATTACACAGATGGGTGTAAAAATACCCAGATTTTTAACTTGAATCTGCTGGGATAACTTCAGTCTTTTTGGGGTGGGTCTCTTAAAAATGCACAAAGAGCTTGCAAATGTGTATCTGGCCTATAAGAAATACACAGATTGAGTGTTCTGGTGAAGGTCCATCTCTACACAGAATATAGTATATATCTAATTGAAGAAAAAACCACAGTAATTGTGCTTTGAGATGGCTTTAAAATACTCCTGTGTAAAATAGATAGCAGCATCTCTGTCTGATGTGGAGAAAAACAGTATTGTCTTATGTTTTAAATTAGCTATGAGCATTTTTTTGTGACTGTGTGTTTTTATTGTTTTCCTTAAGTTCTGCTCTGCATCTGTCTGGCTTGTTAATCTGTTAGCCTTTCCCTACTGGGATTCGGTAGCCCAGTATTCTCCCTATGTATTAGCCAATATAAATTTCCACTGTGGTATCATGATGTATTGCTTACATAGTTCACTCTGGGAAGATGGTTGTCTCTCTGATAACGCTGCTGAAATTCTTCATGAGGAAAGTTGTTTCTGTTAAGTGCTGAATTCCCTTCGAGCTGGCAGCAGTATGTTTGAATCCAAGACTGCTGCACTAGGAAATGGTATGATCCTGCAAAAGCAGGGCCTATAGCAAGATACAAACTTGTTGACTTAACTTAAATTCTTAGAAATGGTGGAGTTAATTATCAAAAAATCTTTTCCTAAATGGATAACATGGTGATGATGATTAACAATCAATGGAGATCTGTAAAGAACAAATAACATTGGGCAAACATATATTTTTTTATGGCAACACAGTGGCTCACTTTGAGTGGTTTTCCTGTCCCTAGTCACATTTTTGTTGCTGTGTCATTTTACATCCTAATAGAATCCTGGGACATGATCTGCTCTTGAGTAGGGAAAACACTCTGGGCGTAATTACCAGTGGCTTGGCAGCTGGAAGGGTATACCAGTGGAAAATCTTACAGGACTCTGTGCTGGGTCTAGTGTTACTAAATATTTTTAAATTTTTTTTACTTAGCTGATAGAATTTGGATTTACAAGTGTTATCAAGATGGTTGGTACCATGTGCTTTGTGTGAGAGATATGTGATTCAAGTAATTGTGGCAAGTTGCATTCTGCTTTGAAGTCTCCAGAGGAGAAATGTAAAATACTATGCTTAAGAGAAAAGTTAAAGGAAATAGAGGCAATACCAGCTTGGAAGCTGTACTGCAGAGAGCTCTGGTTGTTAACAGTAGATCAGAGAAGACCATAAGTCACTAACATATAAATATTATTAGCAATGTGTAAACATTTTTTTTTAATGTATGAGGCACCCAAAGCATTATGTGTATTATTCTAACAGCCCTAGTAAAGCCTCAGCTGGAGTAAAATTTTCAGACTTGTCCATCTTCAAGATGGACAAGCTGGACAGATTTGTCCATCTTCAAGAAAAACATGTACAATTTGTGAAGAGTCCAGTAAAAAAACCAAGAATGATTTGAGGTCTAGGAAATGTGAGCAGTGAGAGAAAACCAGAAAAAAATGGGTTTATCTAGTTTAGAGAAAAAAGGAAGTGAGATGTAATTATCGTATGAAAATACATAAAGGTTGCTGTGAGGCGAAATAAATGAAACCAATCTATTTGTGGTTATAGTTGATCAGAATAAGAAGTTACACACTTAAATGGAAACAATGGAATTTTTTTTAATGAAAAAATTTTTATATTATAAAGATGATTAAGCATTAGGATGAATTGACAGGAGAAGGAGTGAACTGTCTTGCAGGTTTTTAAGAACATTTTGTATAAATATCTGCCAGGAATAATTTGGTTGACTCATGCTTGGGGCAAGGGGAGATGGCTTGCTGTTTTGTATGGTTTTGTGTGCAGAGAATCAAATTTTGCAATACAACTTGTTATTTATTTCTTTCTCAGCTTAGTAATTGATTAAAAGAAATATATATATATATATATTTTATCAGGACATTCCATGTTGTTTGGGTAAGTACAACTGCTGTGCAAGGCAATCCTGAGCTTTGGCCTGATCAGGCTGCCACTTTTAATTTTTGCTGTGACCCAGGATGTGTACAGCTGCAGAGCTCTCTGTGCTTTACAGAGACAGTTTTAAATCACACCAGCTGTACAGGTGAGACTGAAGGCCTGTGTAATGTACTTAAGGCTGGGGAATAATTAACAAATGCAGGAGAAAGGCCTTCTGATGTCTTTGGATCATAATCAGGCTTCATTGAGTGCTGTAACCTTTGTCAGAGGGTTACGGGCACCAGCTCACTTTCTCATTTGGGAGAGAGTATAAAGATTATTCCACAGTGCCCAGATACACAATAAACTATGCCTTCCCCTTGGATCTAAAATGTTGCACAGTTATTAAGTATCCTTTCCAAAGAGTTACAATGTGATTTATTAGTATAGAAAATCTTGATAAATATTCCTATCCTTTTAAGCTCTGGCCACTTTTAGCCCTGGAAATCAAGATCTGTAGTTTAACCACATGTGGTTTAAAAATACAGTGACACTTCCAGTAGTCAATGTATGTGAGATACTTTGCAGAACTCTTGAGGATAATTAAGATAAAGTTCTTATTTTAATATGACGGATAAAGACTAGAACGAAAGACTTTTGCTTTTTGCAAAAATCTCACCTTCAATACAATGCATTTGAAATTCTGATTCTAGTAACATCTCTGCTTAAATTCAAGCCATCATGTGTTAATCACCATATGATTAATATCAACACTGATTTTAACTGGTTATATGCTGTAGCTTTCATATTCCCTTCAGACTCTTTGGAGTAGTGTTCAACAGCTGTGTCCCTCTGTTTAGGAGGGACTTAAAAATTGAGGGTGAACTCACTTGTCTACAGTGATTATCTTCCCAAATTACTTTGAGAGGAAAGCTGGAATTCAAATATAATTATTCTTTTTAGTTTTGTAAACAAGAAAGTGCATAGTCGTAATTATGTTTTCATTGTAATGATTCTGTATTTCTTTCATTTTATTCAACAGATCTTGGCCAATCAATTTTTTACACTACCACATGCTTACTTCCTTTTCTCAATGATGATATTTTGAGTACCTTACCCTATACAATGATTTCAACATTAGCTACCTTTCCTCCATTTCTGCACAAGGATATTATAGAGTATCTCAGCACATCTTTTCTCCCTATGGCTATATGTAAGTAGAACTCATTCTAGTATTGTTCTGTCTTGGTACATAACAGTATCAGACTGTACAAGTCAAAATTTGATCTGTCATAGAATTGTAATGGGACATCCATCTCCTTACATGCATAAAATAATTTCATGTGACTATTTTCAAAGGGAAATGGCTCTATAATTTTTATTTATTTATTGCACTGTGTTTTGGTGTGAATTCTTCCTTTGTTTAAAGTGTGATGTTTATTTAAGAAATCACTGTTTTCAGACTCATAGAACTTTCAGTGCCAGCAGTGGGAGTTTTGAATACAGAATCAATGGGCAAACTGCTCCTGAAATAATAGATGAAATAGCAACATGCATAATTTTTGCATCTGGACTATATCTGGATGTATGAGTGTGATTTTTCTCAATGTGATGATGTTGTGGTGAATTTCTGATTTTCTTCCTGTCTGTTTTCTTGGCACTTTCTAAGTTCTATACTAAATGGCTGTGCCTGTAGAGTCTCCTATCTGTAGCAGTTAGGACTGAGTCTGATGGTCCCTACCTTTTTTCCTCTTCTTTCTTTTTACCTTCCCTGTGTGAAGAGATCACATGATTTGTTTACATCATAGTCCCTGCTCAGTGTGGGTCTTGAGGCGTGTTCTGAATGCTTGTCCATGTACCTGACAAAAAGCTTGATAGGACTTCAGCAGTAATGAGAAATGTAACCATTTTCTGCAGAGAGAATCATTAGGGCCAATATTAGGTCAGTTTTAACCAACCAGCCTTTTACTGTGCGTGACCAAACACTGGAACAGTTTGCCAGAGCAGTTGCAGATTCTCCATCCTAGCAGATGCTTGAAACACAACTTGCCTGGATATCTGCTCTGGTTGCCTTTGAGCAGAGGGATTGGCCAGGATGATTGCCAGAGGTCCCTTTCAGCATCAACCATTCTGTGATTTTTTGAGAATGTCTCTTCCTTACCTCTATATTCCTGCTCTTTGTGGAAAAGCATGAACAACTTTTGTACAGAGATCAAGAGTAATGTCATTTAAGCATGCAGAAGATGCTGAAAGAAGTATAGTCCAGTGTTTTGAGATTAATATTTAATGCAAATGTATCAGGTGTATTTTCTGACTAGTCAATGATCTTGGAAAAGTCCCCTAAATCTCCTGGACCTCAGTTTTTCCATGTAAAATATTCACTTTTATTCATCCTAATGAGGTTTTCTCTATTAACTTTGACACATCTAATGACAGTGTGCAAATCAAAATTGCTAAGATATATTTAGCAATATATAATAATATATGTGCAGTAGGTCCTCTTTGTGTTAAGAACAGAATTTTGCATTAATTAAACAACTTATTTTCCCACTCCTGTAACCTAACCTTTCTTCTGTTAAAGAACAGCTGAGGGTGGTGACTTATCCTGTCTGTCCTCAGATCTGTAGAACTATACCTCAGAATAACTGGTTGAGTCAAATCCTTGGTTTACTTAAATAGATGTTGTTCCCCAACTGCCCCTGACAGAGATTGAATCCTTGCATTTGCATTTGTCATACTGGCTTTCTTCTCTATCAATTTTGGTGAGATTTCTGTATCAAACCAGTCTGCTGCTTTTAAAATTTACTAATCTAGTACTGTGTCCTACTTTTTTGTTGATGGCTATATTTAATTGCCCAGTTAGAGCTGCCAAGTATTTTTCAATTTAAATCCATAAAAATACACCTTTCTGTAATAATTTGAGTGTGCT